GTTCCCTGGGCTATATAGTAGGACCTTGTTATTTATCTTTTCTATATATAACAGTTTGCATCTGCTAATCCCAAATTCCTAGTCCATTCTTCCTCACCCAACTCATACCCCAGCAACCACAAATCTGTTTTCTCTGTGATTCTGTTTTGTAGGTTAGTTCATTTGTGCCATATTTTAGATTCCACATGTAAGTGATTTCACATGGTATTTGTCTTTCTGTTTCTGATTCATTTCACTTAGTATGATAATCTCTAGGTCCATCCATGTTGCTTCAAGTGGCATTATTTCATTCTTTTCTATGGCAAAGTAGTATTCCATTGTATACTAGTAGCATAATGGTATTCCATCTTCTTTTATGCATTCATCTATTGATGGACATTTAGGTTGCTTCCTGTTTTGGCTATGGTAAATGGTACTGCTATGAACATTGGGATGCATGTATCTTTTCAAATTAGGCTTTTCATCTTTTCTGGACATAGGCCCAGAAGTGGGGTTGCTGGATCATATGGCAGCTCTTAATTTTTTGAGGAACCTCCATACTGTTTTCCATAGCGGCTGCACCAATTTACATTCCCACCAGCAGTGTAAGAGGGTCCCCCTTTCTCCACATTCTCTCTGCTGCTGCTGCTGCTAAGTCACTTCAGTCGTGTTCGACTCTGTGCGACCCCATAGACGGCAGCCCACCAGGCTCCCCCGTCCCTGGGATTCCCCAGGCAAGAACACTGGAGTGGGTTGCCATTTCCTTCTCCAATGCATGAAAGTGAAAAGTGAAAGTGAAGTCGCTCAGTCGTGTCTGACTCTGTGTGACCCCATGGACTGCAGCCTCCCAGGCTCCTCCGTCCATGGGATTTTCCAGGTAAGAGTGCTGGAGTGGGTTGCCATTGCCTTCTCCGCCACATTCTCTCTACAGCACCTTATTTCTTCTCATCATGATCATCAGCAACTAGCTGTTGAATCCTGTGGGTAAGATAGTTGGAGACAGGCAAAAAGCCTTTGGGTTTATCCACAGTGAATTTAAAAGGATAACTACTAGGATCAGACAATTAATGTTAGGAAAAACAGAGGCCATAGGAGGCCAGATCTGGACCTTGTGGCCTGGACTCCCTGGAGACAGTGCTGTGAGTGAGGTGAGGGCTAGGTTGGTCTGTGAGGAACGTTTAGGATTTAGAAACAGCCAGTGAGTTTCTAACTTTTTTTTTAGCTCGCATTGGCAACATGGAAATGGAAGACATACAATCTAGGCTGTATTGTTAAAGCAAGATTGAAGGCCCTCAGCCCGACTGCCCCTACCTCCTGGAGGTGCTCCTGAGAATTGTCCTGGGAGCATGCTGAGAGTTGGAGGAGCACCAGGAAGTGTGCAGAGTTGGGCCAAGGGCCTTCTAAGCTAGGAAAGTGCTTCAGGAGGCTCCGCACTGGCATCACAAGCTCAAGGCTGGCCCGTGGAGTGGCCGTGCATGGGACTGCCTGGTGTCGGGACTTTTGGGGTATTGGTGGTGAAGTGCTTTCTGTCTCCAGGACCATAGCTGCTCAGCTCCAACCGATGTTCTGTGGAAATGTGGATTTCAGGTGTATCTGAGTTTATGAAGCCAGAAATACAGGTTTTTATGTGAAGGTCTTAAAAACACTACCTAGACCAAACAAAACACCTACAGTTGACATCCAGACTGCAAGTCACTCTTGCTCCCAATGACATAGAGACTTGAGCATGTGATCTCTTGGTGAGAAGTCACCCAGTGTGCCTGGGGGGCCATGGGTCTGTACAGAGAGTGGTTAGTGAGGCTGGAAGAGCACTGCGGGCCAGATTGGGGTGGGCTTCAGTGATCTTGCTGGAGAGCAGTGACCAATCTCCTGTGTGTTTTGGGAAGACGATTCTGTCAGTGGTTGAGTAGATTCAAGAGGTCACCTGTCAAGGCAGTGAGATTTTTAGTTAATGCTGTTTGGACACATGATTAAGTTTAAGGGCTTGATGTGCAAAAGAAAGGTAAAATGAAACAGTTGTTGACTTAGATTTCAATCAGTTGCCCAGAACTTGTCCAACTATACATTTGTGTCACTAGATGCTTTCCAGCCCTTCATTTTGGCTTCAAGCAGAACAGCACATTTTTTTCTTGTTATGATAAGATACATATAATATATACCATTGTAACCATTTTTAAGTGTAAGGAATCAGTGGCATTAAGTACATTCACCTTTGTGCAGTCATTACCACCATCTATCTCTAGAACTTTCTGTCATTGCAAAACTGGAACTGTACCCATTAAAAAATAACTCTCATCCCCCCACCCTCAGCTCTAGGTAACTTCTGTTCAGCCTTCTGTCTTATATAATACTGCAATGTTTGTCTTGTTGTGTCTGACATATTTATCTTAGAAGCTAGAACAGTTTTATAACTTACACTTTGATGATTTGAAGTTTGTTTGTTTAGTCTCTAAGTCATGTCCAATATTTTGTGACCCCATGGACAGTAGCCCACCAGCCTTCTCTGTCCATGGGATTTCTCAGGCAAGAATACTGGAGTGGGTTGTCATTTCCTTCATCGGAGATCTCCCCGACCCAGGGATCAAACCCACGTCTCCTTCACTGGCAGGCAGATTCTTTACCACTGAGCCACCAGCAGTATGTGAAGTCAAAAAAAAAAGGAAAATGTTTGGAAGTCATTATTTCTCTATGTTCAGCCTTCTGCTCCTGGGATTCCCTCACTGGGTACATTCACTTTAGATCTTCCTGTAGCCTCTTTCTCTGGAGCGTTGAGCAGTGGGGCTTGATGAATGCAGGATGCTAAGAAGTAAGAGACCAGGCCAGTTCCTGAAGGCATTTATGCAGGGCTTTGGTAGCATCGTTGGTAGAAGTGTAATTTTTTGTGGCCGCAGCTCAGTTTAGGAGGTTCATGCTGGTGCTGATGCTAAGTCTCTGAGGTCCTGAAATAAATGTTCTTTGTTGATACCAGCAGCCACAGGAGGGCTGGAGGACTCAGATGTCTGATATTTGCATGCCTTAAGGTATCAGATTCTGCCACTGCATGCTTTCTGATGGGAACAAATGTGTAATTTGATTTTGAGTTTTTGGATTGAAATTGCTGGTTGGGGACTTATGTTTTTGATTTAATGACGCATGTAAGTGGGATGTTTGTCCTTATACACCATGTGTATATTTGAATGGATCCCAAATTAGGAAAAAATGTTTCCTTCAATTTAATGTCAGTTTTGGAAAGGAGTAGTCAGGTGTTCCCTGAAAGTTCTAGAGGTGGCAGATAGGAATCTTAACCGTGGCTTATTGGCACAGCTGTCAAAGCCTGGTTTCACTCATGCTAATAACTTAATGTGCAGGAACTGTTAGAGATGTTAGAAGTCATTTAAGTTCAAACTCTAAGCCTCTGCATTTTACTTCAGAGGGCATTAGGAAATTTCAAGATGCTACATGTGAAACATTTAGCATCATGAGTGATATATTATAGATATTGAGTAAAGACATTAGAACAGTGACTGTTAATATTTAGTGGAGTGTGTCTGTGTCCAAAATAGGGGATCAGGACGGCAGGTGCACTAACCAGGGGATGATTAGTGTGGGGGAGAAACAATTTAGAAGAGTCAGCTTGATCTGTTTCATTAACTGTCTAGAGAACTGGCAAGCAATAGAATTAGATTTTTTATATGTCATAGTTAGAGCTCAGAACAAAACATTGCTGTGGAAAGATCATAGCTCCAAGCTAATGAGGACTTTCTAATATTTAGATTATCTTGAAAACAAACAGGCTATATTAGGATATAGAGGAGATGCTCACATTCATTATAGTTAGTTATAACTACAATCAGATTCTTAATTACAACTATTATTCATCCCCATTTTACAGATGAACTTGTGAGCAGGGACTATTCTGTCCACAAGGCTCTTCTGGAGGAAGCCTGCCGCCTGCCAGGCTCTTAATGATTTTAGACTCATGAAATTAAAATATTTTCACTCACCTCGTGTCTGTTTATCCTGCAGTCCAATTTGCATTGAGAGATATGTGCATCCACCTTTCTTTAAAATGTTCATTTGTTTGGTCTTGAAAAAATTTATTCTTTGTATCTAAAATGTCCTACCACCCATTTTTTTTGTCTTGTGAATGTCCTTGGCCCCCTGCCCCGCCCTTTTATGTCTCATGGATGGTTGAGAAATGCTTATGTTCACTGTCAGCACGTTAGTTGTAACCTTTTATTGCTATTGATATCTATAAGCACGTTAAGTAAATCTTCATTTTGCTGACCTCTTTGAAGACGCGTGGCATCAGCAGATTCTCTCTCTCAGTGGACAGGTGAGAGATTAGGGATCAAGTCCATTTATTCCCCCCGTTTTGCTTTGTTTTCTCCAGAGCAGCAAGATTCATTGTCTAGCAAGAGGGAAGCTGTGTTAAATGGCAGAATTTGTCTTCCGGTTAATGGTTTAAAGAGTGGATGTAAATTATACAGCTTGTTTGCGCAGTGCCTGATAAGGTACCGCACTAGGGGAATTCTTTTGTAAAAGCTGTTTAAGCAAGACTGTCATTTTGACTCAGCCAGATTAATAGCATAAAAATTAATAGCAAAGGAGCTTTGAGCTTTGCTGTATAAAAATTGGCATATGGACACTTTGAAGCGGCAGTTGCCTCTTCCCTTCTGAGATCAGTAAAGACTGCTTTGCCAGACCGAGTTCCACCTTTAGTGAAGGGAGAGCTTTCTGGGTCCTCCCGTAAGAAGTTCCTGGAGTCGTTTGTTAAGCTGCTGACCCATTGGGAGGTCACTGGGAGTGACAGATCCATGTGGACCCAGGGTGACCATCCTAGCCCCGCAGGGTGTGGAGACATCTTAGGAGGCTTGTGAGAGTCGTACCATGTGGAGTTCTTCAAACTGGGGTTGAAGATTACTGCCAAAGAAGGGCAAATAGGTATTGGTGGTAGGGACGTGAGGACTCTTATTCCTCGAAGATATTTTTTCTTCTTTTGTCATGTGTTCTAACCATTTTCCCCCCTCTATGATTTGTAGGAAACTGGATCTCTGGAAGAATCTACAGATGAGTCCGAGGTAAGGTGGTGATTCAAGAGCATGGAAAGTTCTAGCTGAGCCAACATCTTGAGCTAGTCATGCCTTGCTAAATGGAACATTCCCCAGGTTTGGGAAGGTAAGGTAGGGTCATAGGTGATTAAACCTCGAGGAGGAATATGTTGGTCATCTTTTAAAGTATTAGATAGATTCATTTAAAAAATAAACGAGAAAAGGAGCAAAAAGTGTTTTCCTTATTTTGATCAATATTTTAATCCTAAGCGTGTTGGCAGTGAGGAAATTCATGCCAACTTTTACCAACTAATCTTGACACTTAAAAACCTATTTTTAAGAATAACCATTGTAGGGTCTAAAGTATTTATTTTTTGCTCTTTTAATGAATATGATGTGCTCCTTAGTATAATTTCTGAATCACTGAAATGATATTTCATAAAAAGGGAAGTAGCTACCTGAAAAACTGTTAGGGAGCTCAGTTGTAGTAAAGATTGTATTTTAAGGAGAAAAAGTAATATATAAAGGAAGCCTTTAAAAAATTTTCTTCTCAAGGCTATGCATAAAAAATAAGTTTAAGCATAACACTGATCAATTAGCTTATTAGTTTTATGGATGGACTAATAATAATAGTTACTTTTTTTTCCTTTTAGTATTTCCTTTGGCTCAGAGGACTATAAAAGTATCTGTGATAACTTTTTGAAAATCAACACCAATATGCTATTTAATATAATTATTAAATTTGGACTGATATTACAGATAATCTCTTTTATGCTTTGGGGAGAAAAGGTGGTCTTATACATATTCCTCTAGAGAACATCTTCCATATTATGCCATCATACATTTGTAGTTTTCCGAGTTGTAGTTCCTCACATTTTCACTACTAAAGATCTGTGATGCTGTCTTAATCCCGGTAAAGTGTAACTGAATTTACTTATAGATAGGCTATAATAATTGTTGATTTTCAGTAATGCATTGAAAGCATTTCAGAGCACCGTTTTTACTTTTGGAGAACTCTACTTAACTGAGAACCCTGTCTTCTGAGGATCACCAATTCAGAATCCTGCAGTGTTGGAGCCCTATCCAGGAATTTCATTTCCAGGGTGAGCAGGATGTTGGCAGCTGCGTCCATCTAAATCTTTCCACCCATCTTTCAAATACGAAATGATCCAGAAAGAGAGCAAACAAAAGAATCCGTAACCCATGCCTCCAACATAATTAGATAACAGGGAGCACTATAAACTTCAAAATAAGTGGGGAAATAAATATTTGAAACCAATAGAGCCAGCTTTGGATTGACTGGAGCTGAGGATCAGATGGATGGAAATAAGGGGAGTGTGGCCAAGCTCCAGTGGTGGCACAAAACAAGGGGAAGTCATGCCCAATTCCACGTGGGGAAGTTGTGAGTGCAGGTCTGAGCCTGGTGGATCTGAGAACTGATTGTTGAGAATTTAAAGGAAGGAGTTTGAAAATTCATGAAACACCAAAAGTACAGTATTGGGATGGGGCCACTTCTGCAGACAAGGGGGAGGCATTCCCTGGGAGGTCTGGTGGTGCAGGGAAAAGGAAAAAGAGATATCAAGATGTTCGAAACAAACAATGTTGTACAATCAGGAGATTTACCTCTTCTCTCCACACCACTTAGTAAAGAAAATGTGGCACTCCCTTGGTGGTCCAGTGGTTAAGCATCAGCACTGCCCATGCAGAGGGCACAGGTTTGATCCCTGGTCGAGGCACTGAGATCCCACGTGCCCGACACATCATGGGCCATGCCCAAAATTTAACAACAAACAAAATGCCCTTCCCTTACCAGTGTAACTAAGAAACCTAGTAAACCACCTAAACACCTCCCCTCCCCCTGGGAGCACCTGTTTATGTTGTCCAGGAACATCTAAGTCATTTAAAAATGATCTGAAATGGTAGCATTCATGCAAAATTGCTTACAGGATAAAAAAGTAGTGAGAATCAAAAATTTTCCAAGAGAACACCAACATAACACTCCATCATAAGCTGAATATCTTGAAACAAACAAGCACACAAAAAAACTACCTTAAACCACAAATTTAAAAATCTCAGAATAGAAATGAACCAAAAACTAGGAAGTTAAGGAATAAAGTTAATAACATTTCAAGAATGAAATGGAAAGAAAAGGTATTTTAATGTCGAGAAAACAGGCCCCAAAAGTAACCTGACAGTCTAATGTTGTCGCTGCTTTGTGGGATATATAGGTTCAGATTCTGGTCCCCAGACTCTGGGTTCTTTTGGTCGTCTTGCCTTCCAGCCATGGTGCCTTCTCAGGATGGTACCTTGGGTTCACCTCTCAGCTGTGCTTCATACTTGCTGTGTTACTTTGGACATGGCGTCAGTCTTCCATTCTTCGGCTTCTTGATATGAAAAATGGGAGTGACTGCTAACCTCATATGGTTGTTGTGAGGATTAGATAAGATTGATGTTTGCAAAGCATCATATTTGGCATTTACCACATTGGAAGCACTCTGGGAATATTAGTGATCTCCAGCTGCTATTTTAGCTATGGTGCTGGTGGCTGATTTTACAGCCTGGTGCTTCAACCTGAGGGCTTGGAGAGTCTTCCCACACTGACTCTAGGAAAGTGGTTACCATCCCAAATATTACCGATTCTAGTGAGTTTATGCACCAGCAGAATAGTCAGGCTGGTGGTAGAACTGAATGAAATCATTGTAGCTATAGTGAGTTGGCTTGCAATCCAGTCTTTGGAGAAGATTTTCTTGGATTTCTGACTCAGTTTGAACCACTTTCCACTTTGAAGATTGGTATTGGTATTGACATACCACTTGATTCCCAGGGAATCTTTATTCTTCCTTTCCTGCCTCTGTCCCTTCTTCCCATTTTTTTTTTTTTTGTAAAGATATTTTTTATGAATCTTTATTGAATCTGTTACAATATTGCTTGTTTTATGTTATTTTTTTTTCTGCCAGAATGCATGTGGGATCTTAGCTCCCCAACCAGGGGTCAAACCTGCATCCCCTGAATTGGAATGCAAAGTCTTAACCACTGGACCACCAGCAAAGTCCCCCCCTGTTTGGTTTTGTGACTGTTAATTAAGCTTTCTCTTTTTGTACATATAGGCGTTTCCTTTATGAAATATGAAACATGTTTAAGTGCTCAGGTGATTTCCATTTTTGTGAACAATACTTAGTGTTTTCAACCATGTAGTGTAGTAATTTATTTTTCTACCACTTTATGAAATACTGCATTTCATATAAACTGGACTTTCACATTATAGGAAAACCATAGTGTTAGGTTATTCTGAAGTTCTTTTATTAACGTTTAATTTTTTAATTTTTAGTTGTAAAATACACATAAGACAAAATATACCATCTTAACCATTTTTTAAGTATACAGTTCAGTATCATTAAGTTTATTCACATTGTTGGGCAACCTGTTTCTGGAACTTTTCTCCACCAACACTTATTTTCCTTTTTGTTTTTGATAGTAGCTATCCTGACAGGTGTGAGGAGATAATCTTATTGTTGTTTGATTTGTATTTCCCTAAAAATCTGTGATGTTAAGCATTTTTTCATATGCTTGTGGGCCATTTGTGTATCTTTGGAGGTATATCCAGGTTCTTTGCTCATTTTCTGATGGAGTTGTTTGGTTTTTTTTGTTGAGTTGAATTCTTTATATATTCTGAATATTAACCCTTTTCAGGTGTAGATATGGATATCAGATGGATACCTGGATATTAACGCCTTATTCAGTAGCTATAAATATAACAACAACCTGTGGATAGGACAGATAGATAGCTAGGTAGGTAGTTAGGTATAGATTTGTGGAGTTATAAGTGATTTATCTGTACCTCTGTGTGTGTGTGTGTGTGTGTGTGTGTGTGTACGGGCTGTCAGTCACACCTGACTCTGCAACCCCATGAATGGTAGCTTGCCAGGTTCCTCTGTCCATGGGATTTTCCACGCAAGAATATTGGAGTGGATTGCCATTTTATACTCCAGGGGATCTTCCCGACCCAGGGATCGAACCTTGGTCTCTTGTGTCTCCTGCATTTTTTACCACTGCACCACCTGGAAAGCCCTAGTTACATCCATATCTCTGTATATAAAAGATATTGGTAATATATGAAGAATATATATTAATATGTGTATCCCTTTAAAATTATACGATATGCAGATTTTTAAATATTTTCTCCCATTCCATGAGTTGGTTGCTATTTCATTCTCTTGAGTCTGTCTTTTGATATATAGGCATTTTTAATTTGAATATAATCCAGTTATCCCTTTTTACTTTTGTTTCTTGTGCTTTTGGTGTCATATCCAAGAAATCTTTGCCAAATCCAGTGTAATGAAGCTTCCTCCTGTGTTTTCTTCAAGGTTCTTATTTTAATGTGTTTGAGAAAATAGCACTGAATACTCAGAACTATCAGTATATTTTTCACTAATCTTGAAAACTGCAGCCAAATGAAATGAATTTGAGGTGTGGAGTATAATTAAAATAATTGAAAGTGGTATATATGTCAAGATGTTAATCTTTAAGAATTTTAACTTGTTCTTTACACTTAAAGTAGAAATTCAAAGCCAGGTTACAACCAAGATAGGAAGTAAAGCTACATAGTTAGGGGTCTTGGGATCATGTTAATAATTAATGGAAAATTTGGAGGATAAATAAACTGATCCTCATATCTAGGATTTTTTTTGTTTTTAAAATACAGTCATCTGTTTTTTCCATGTTGATATGATGAGCCAGACTATTTTTTAGACAGTGTTTCTCTTGTAAAGTTTAACAGAAAAGTATATTATCTTCAAAAAGATTTCATTCTCATCTTGAAGCTCAAAGACCTTTTCAGTTTTTAAGTATGGATGGCTACTGTCATATAGATATGATATTTTGGATGATGTTACAGATTTTGGCTTATTCAGCTAGTGGGGTAAGATACTGATTTCAGAATCTTTGAACTTACTTTTTATTCTGGATAACGAGGATTGTCTAGCTAATGTATGTATGACATTAATAATTTTGATAAAATTCCTGTTTTTTCA